TTTTTCCACTTTATCCTATCAATATGACGTCCAAACATCGTTTTAACGTCAGCGTTTTGTTTTTGTTTTCAAAAAAAAGAAGAAAATTAATCATGAAACGTTATCAGTATAGAGAGAACAGATAGAAAGCAAAGATAATTTCTATTCATATAAAACATATAAGAGAGATCACCAAAAAACAGTGATTACACAATTAATAGATTAATATGGCGAGCAAGTATGGTGTTGAAATAGCTCCAACGATTCAACGATCCGATACGGCTTCTGGTGTTTCATCAACTAAGCTAGGGCATATTTTCCAGCTCATTAAACGAAATTCCAAGAACGTGTTCTATACATCATTAGCGGTCATTGTCATTTTTGCATTGATTGCTCTAGTTTTTGCAGTACCAGTCGTTCAAGTGATTATTGGCTTTTTATATAAGAATTCATGTCCTATTAATCATTTAATTCCAATCTATCTTATTGTCGCCGGTTTCGCTACATTGTTTCTACTAATCATTACATGTATAAAGGTAATATTCATTTTAAAAATCCAACATTTGATTGAAAATAATAACGTTCGGATTCGGAGAGTCGATAATGTTTTCATATTGTATTGTTTCTCTTTTCTTAGATTATGGATGAAAAGTCATCATACTGGAGTATTTTACAAATTCTATCAGGAATAGTTTGTCTTGGTTGGTTCATAACTGTGAGTTTAAGTTCATTGTAAACTCTTACAAATACACAGTGTAAATCTTGTTCATTTAGGGAAGTGTTTGGGTGTTTCGAGCTAAAGGAAAGGTTCAATATTATGATCGTTATGATGAAAGTACTTATTGTGAATATACACTGTTTAATTGTGCGTTTGGAACACTCTTCATGAGTTATGGACTCCTTCTTGGCCTTATTTGTAATGATGAAAAACATAAAAAATGAAGACTCATTACATCACACTATTTTGTCGACTTCTATCTACAAATATTAAACCATATCATGCAAAGATTACACAAAAAAAAGATCATTTCAAATATATTCTTGTGTTCATTTACAGTATTTTCAAAAAAAATAACACTGTTTTTTATTAAGATAGAATTTTACTTAGATGTTTGGAATGCGTTTAGAAGATCTATTGGTGTGTAATTATTCTTCACAAGAAAGTACTTGTTATGTGAAACTAGGCATATAGTATTCTACGAAATCTTGAATAGAATTCAAAAGAAAATATCGATAATGAATAGAAGATTATCATTTTTCGCTTAGAACATGTTCGAAATCATTTCTTTCCGAAAGAAAAATCAGCTTAATGTAAAGCTGTTCATTAAGTGAATTCTAACAGTAAAGAAAGTATTTTCATTAGACTTGATTTTCAATACTGTGTTGCATAATGTCTTTCAACTATATCCTTCGTTTTTCTTACGGATAAACATCAAAGAACATTTCTTTTTTTACTTTAAGTCTATATAGTGTTATTACGTAATGTGTTTGAAGAGAACTGTTACCAAACCATTGATTAAAGTTCTCATTGTGTCTTGACAGGGTGTGGGTGTAGAAAAACAAAAGGTCTACATCCCCACATACATATTCGTATCCACACCAACACCCGATAATGAAAGCTGAAGTTTTTTGTGATGAAATTGAATGATTCCTAAATTCACTGTGTTAACAGGTTTCGCCAATGCATTTTTTTTTGGAATCTCTATTACTAGGGAGTACCATGTCCATGTATTTGGCTTTCATAATGCTGTTGCTTCATTTGCCGTGATAGCTGATGTGCTGTGGTAACTTCATACGAATGTGTATGTGAGCGCATGTATATAAAAGAGAAAAACTAAGGCACTAAGTTGATGATAATTTCAAGTACTTTTCGTCAAATAATCTAAATTAATGTTTTATACTCAGTTTTTCATACTGATAAAGAAAATAATATTCTTAGAATTATTAGAATAAGAAAAAGAGAAATTTAAATATCATTTCTCAAAAGTAGTCGATTTTTACATGGACTGAAATCATCAAAGTATTTTGATTTTTTTTTTTGATATAAAGCAAGAAAAAATTTTTTAAAATACATTTTCTTATACAGTTTGATGAGCTCTATCCAACCATATATGAAACATTGAAAAAAAAATTTTATGCTAAAATTTTGAATTTCCCGCACCTTATATATTATTCAAATATATGTCAAAATATTTATTTTGTGACAACATGTTTATGTTGAACTATGAAAAAACTCCGATTAATCGCGATTAATCATTCTGATTTTCAGCGATTGCAATTAATCGATTTTCTTTCCTAAATCGTGATAAAATCTGATTTTAACGGCGATTTTTCAATGTAATTCGATATATCGCGATTTAACATTCATTTTTCTGAAAATCACCAAAATCGCGACGATTTTCATCACATGCGTATCATCGAGAACGACTTTGTTATTTTAAAGATCCCATAAAATAAAATCTATGTTTTTTATGACATCGAAAATAAAATCTAATATTGTATTGAATTACAATTACATTGCAAGAACAAAAATGATATCACTACCAATGGTTTCTTTCCATGGATAGTCAAATTCAGAAGTTCATAGACATGGTTAACTTATTGTGCTACTAATTCTGTTTTTAATTCGGATTCGAATGAGTAGATTGATGATTATATTACTGTGTAAGATAATCTCTCTATTGATTGATAACTAAATGATGACTGAGAGTATGAAAGATGTTTCGATAAAACATCGATTCTTTTTGCTAAATAGAGAATTATCAGATAAACTTAAAATTATTGATCTAATAGTAGACTTCCATCTGTATTCATATTTGTTTCAGATTTGCTGAAGATAAAGTCGAAGAAAACAAAAATAAGAAAAAATTATATTCATTTAGGAATAAATGTGTATAGAAACTTTATAATGATTCAATGTTCTAATTACGTGGAAGCATCTCGTAAATCGTAGATCAGATTTTTTTTTCATGGTTGTTCGTTTCAACTTTCAAAATATTTTTTCAATCAACAGTCAAATTTTCAATCAATCAGAAATACGATCATATCTATCAAGTTATATTATGAATCAAGCATATCTAATGGTCCTGTGGACAATATTACAGCGAGATAATTGAAAAAATAATTGCTGAGAAAAAAGTGAAGCTTTTAACATATTTTAGACAAGTTAGTACATTTAACTCCAATTATGTTAGGAAATATTTGTATTTACTTGAACTCGATACCTCAAGAAGAAAAACAACATAGGATAACAGAATTTTTTACATGGTAAACCTAAAAGTAATTATAAATCAACTAGTTTCGATAGCAAATAGGTATTTCTTAAGTAATCGTATCGTTTTAGATTAATTTAAGGTTGTTAGAATTGTTATTTGCTTGATTTGATGAAAAGTCCTTTGCAGTGAAATAAGATTCTTCACTTGCAAACAAGAGAATCAACTAGTATACAACAATTCATCAAGGAAATCGTACAAGCGAACTTAGTATGGAAAACGATGCTCTTTTTGCCTATTATCCATTAATTTTAATTATTAGTGGTACTATATCTAATTTATTCACACTATTCATTCTTTTTCGATCGTCTTTTTACGATGCCAACCGACGTCCTACACTGCATGTTATGCGTTTTATGACTGTTTTTGATATTTTAATGCTTTATGGTTGGAATCTTGACCATTATTTGAGTGTAGCTCATGGTTTTACATTACACAGATACTCTGTAGGATGGTGTAAAGTCACCGCATTTCTCAATTATTTTACTTCAGAAGTATCTGCATGGTTACGTGTATTAGTATGTATTGATCGATGTCTTGCATTTCATCACCGTCAACGAGCATGGTTCAATAGTTCAAAAAATATTCTAATTATTATTATGATTATTCTGAGTATATTTACTTTATTTAATTTTCATCTTCTTCTGTTTGGTTGCTTCAAAGAACCTGATGGGTTGATCAATTCAGATTCTATTTTCTATAAGATCTATCCACTGTGGGATCGTATCCATTTAGTTGTATATAATTGTATACCACTTATTCTAATGATAATTTTCAATACGGATGTAATCTATCATTTAGTACGTTTACGCCGACGAAGTTTAATTCAAAATTCACAAATACAACATAGAGCTATGACAGTAACACTGCTTGTTACAACGTGTCTCTTTTGTATCATGACAATACCAGCAAGCGTAGGATTCGGATTTTTTAAAAATAGAACAACGTACTTAAATTTTCAAATATTCGATTCTATGCTTTACACTTACCATATATTATCGTTTCCTCTCTACATGATAATATTCCATGAGTTTCGTCGAAATGTCATTACTTTCATCAAATGTCGATATTTATCTAAAAAAATTGTACCGATGGATGTTACTAATAAGATATCAATAAGCATGCAATTGCAAGTAACATGATTTGAGATAAAAATCAGTATCGAGAATGAATGTACTCTTGTCTATATAAATACAATTGACGAAGAAATCTCTTACTTTGACACTTTTTTGTTGACATTACTACGAAATCGACTCTGTCTCAATAGTGCACTCAAGATATGTTTTTTCTTTGCATTTTTCTATACTATGACTCATTCTTGAAGTTCATACAATCATTAATTAATTTCGATTCTTGTTCATCTAAGATGTAAGTGCGAATGTTCGTCATTTGAATTTATGTATCAGGCAAAATTGAACTAATGATAAAAATTTTTCTTTTAAAAATATTGGGTATGATCTTGCCTAGTCAAAATTAGCTCTGTGCATAGTTGAGATTAAAACAAAGAATTCAGATACAGGCTTCGATATTCTTCATTATATTTGCCAATTACTATAGTATTGCATCAAAAAATCATTTTGAGTTTGTTTGAGTCTAGACGTGGCAGGTGAGCTTGGAATCTAGTTTCGAGGGTTTGAGTGTGGGTGTGTAGTGTGCGTGTGAGTGTGGAGTGTAGGTATGGGT